AACTCCAAACACTTTAGTGGTCACTCTCACTATTTTTTGCCACCCATCTATTCTTGGTGGCATCAATTGCTTCCCGTTTCACCCTCGACAGCTCCTCAAACCACTGCTCGTACAATGTCTCGATTGCATCTAATTCGACCTTCAGACTCGACCTGCCATCTTTACCTCTCAACTCCTCATTCTCGGCAGTCCTGCTTTTTTCAATCACAAGTGTCCGGCAGTCATATTGAAACAGATCCGCAAACTCCATTTCAGATACTCCGCCACTCGACCCATCAAGAATCCCGTTTTTCCTCAAAGATTCCTCAGCAGAAGCCCCGGGCCCACGTGAAAGTAAGAACTCAACATTATTAGGAGACGCACAACTGGGATACCTGTGCACCAACTTACAGCTGTCATCCTCTGTCATCAAGGTCAGGCAACTCGTGCTCCTCGAGCCAGATGGTGGGTTCCAGTCTGGCCACATTCTCATGATTAGGTCATCGATGAGGCCAGCAATGACATCATGCTCGACCAGCTCGAGCTGCTCGACCATCTCTGCTGCAACTGCGGAAGCTGTGTCCGAGTCGAGGTAAAATATGAAGTGTACGTTCCTAACTCCACCTGTCGATACGACTACAGACTTAAAGGTTCTGTTAATTTGTATAAATTACTAATTCTGTAATTGAGAAGACTTATAGCTGAAAAGCTAGCTTATATGATAAAAGGGTTTGGTAAAATGAGCTGATAAGCTAGCTGAAATGAAAATTTCAACAGGCTTATTTGAAAAGCTACCAAAAGAAGCTTATGAGATAAGCTCGAGCTTTTTAAAAAAGCTTGTCCTGCCAAACGAAAGTTAATTAAATATAGGAAGCTTATAAGCTAACCAAAGAAGCTATAAGCTAGCTTATTTGTCTACCAAACATAGCCTAAATAGAATTAGTTCGTTATGCACTTGCTCACTTACCGCCTCGATCAGCAATGCGCAAGGTTAACTCTACTGAGCTTTCGTCTTTTTTCTTCCCTTTCAGTCTGAACTGATTGTTCTGGTGGGAACTTCGAAGTTCCATCAACGAAGAACAAGAACTCCCGAAACTGGAGTCTGTGTAGATTGACTGATTATAGTCGTGATCTATGTCCATAGAGTGAGGCCTGTTGATTGACCGACTTGAGTATCTAAATGCTTCGTCAGGTATTGGAGGAGAACCCTGAGCTGATACAGATGTAAGGTCAGACTGAAGAAAGGGGTCTTTAAGAAGTTCTTTAGCAGACGGCCTTTGAGAAGCTGGAGCCAAGCATTTTTCGATGAACTCTTTGACTCCTCCAGGATCCACCTTGCCTAGAGAAGCGGGTTTAACACCCTGCAGGACGAAATGGGTTTTTAAAATGAAATCCTCGAAACAAATAATAAATGCAGTCCCAAGATAAAAGATTAGTGGACTCACTAATGTCACTTTTCGATAAATTTGAGCTGAATTATTGCATTCCGAATAAGGGTATTCCATAGTCATCATCTCCAACAAACACATTCCGAAGGAATATATGTCGACGAGTTCATTGTACTCCTCTTCGTAAAGCTCCGGAGCCATAAATTCCGGGGTTCCTAGAAGCACAAATCAGGAAATAATAAATGCTTATATTTTAATATGATCCTTCGATATTTTCAAAAAATTAAGAATTCATCTTCATACCAATGACGCTCTTAGCTGTAGGTTTGTGCAGGATGGTAGCTAATCCAAGGTCCCCGATTTTAACTTCTCCTTGGTTCCCGTTAACAAAGATATTGTCACACTTCAGATCCCTATGAATAACAAGTGGGTTTTGACTATGAAGATAGTCTAAACCTTGGAGAATCTGTCTTGCCCAATTCTTAATAGCCCTCATATCGACTGTTTTGTACTTTTTACGATATCTAGCAAACGAAACTCTAGAATAAGAGAGAATCCAATTGACATAAAAAGTATGAGGAAAATAAAGCAGGGGATACTCACTGCCTCAGGCTCCCAGAAGTGAAAAGCTCAGTTATCATATTAATGGTTTTCTTTTTTTGGTCAATCCATGAGTCGTAAAACTTGATAATGTTTTCATGATTCAGCTGACTAAGAAGATGAACCTCTGCGTAGAGCTTTTCCAAGTCTTCAGGTGACCGCAACACATCATCTATTTTGATTCGGTTCCATGCGACCTCAATCCCATCAATTTGATCAAATGCCTTGTAGCTAGAAATTAAAAAATTCTACTTAATTTCATGTCTAATTAGTTTCTACAGATAACTAGATAGGACGGGCCAAAAAAAATAAAAAAATAGGAGAAACGAAAGGAAGGAACAGTTTCAAACTCATACACAGTCTTAAATGCACCCTTCCCCAGGACTTCACTATACTGCAAAACAGAATCAAGAGCATGAATCCATTTCATACAAGCAACAATATTCCATTATCATAAGTTTTTTACAAAAAAATGCATCAATTTACTAGATCCAAGAATGATTACAGAATAACTAGATCAATGAGAAGGCAATGCATTTAACAATGATAATCGCAACTCAGTATGCCAACCGATATTCCTCGAACACGTTAACATACATTATCACACAACAAACAAACGACTATCAACCTAGAACATCAAATGGTAGAGAAAAGATCAAACAATGTCACCATCAGAGGCGCCAAACATTTGAACAAACATATGGGGAAAATTAAAAAAGTACCCGAACATATCGGCCTCTGTGACACTTCTCCACGTAATCAACCTCTTGATCGGAAGCCTCTTCACTAACTCGAAAGCCTAAGAAACCCCCATTTGTATTCCTACTACCACCACCATCTCCTATAGAATAAGGGCATTCATAGCAAGGAACAGAACTCATCCCGGTCGTAAAACACAACAACAACAACAATAACAACCTAAAATCAGCAGAAGCAGAAATGACAGGCAAACCAGCGAGGAAAAAGAAAAAACAATGGCGGCAGCCTAGGAGTCAGCGAGGTGGGGATCTAGAGAGAAAGGGTTTGTGGTTCTTCATCACGAAGGACCTCTGAAGCGATTGAGTACGAGCTCAACAATGGCGACCGCATGCCGCAGACTCCAGATCGACATTTCCGTTCGGCATAGGCGATAGAGACATCTGCAAACGTCTGATTGGGCGAGGAAAATGGCTCGGACGCCAATCGGCGAAGAGATCTACGCTGCCTAGAGGAAAAAGACAGCATTTTTATCATCGGCGATCGACAAATTTCCATAATACCTAAAACTCCGGCGCTAAACTTAAGATTAATTTCCGATGATTCATCGGGGCTTGTCACATGAACAATCAACAGCAAATCAGCATCGATTTCATACAAATTGAAAGATGCGTAGTAAATATTGAAAGATTTTGAGAATGCGAATAAATAAAAATGTGGGATAATGAGAAAATGAAGAAGGAAAAGAAGAAGAGTGAACAAATGGAGAGGATTTAATGGGGGATATTGGGAAGTTGATATCGCCGGAAAATGTGGGTGGAACGAACACTTGTTTGGCGGAATTTTAGCGGAAAAATAGTATATCGTGCTATGTTTAAAATAAATGGATAAAAAAATTAAACCACATTGCGGTGAGCGTGGATCGAACACGCGACCTTCAGATCTTCAGTCTGACGCTCTCCCAACTGAGCTATCCCCGCTGTTGTCCTAGGGGCAATTTGTTTTTTTATGTATTTCAGGTTTCTAAATTCTGATGAACATTAGCATATATTGTGTTTGATTAGCTATTTGGCTACCAAATTTGCTATATCACATCATTCGTCAAAAGGGTGTATTTGGTTCTATCTCCACCCTGTCCAGCCCTAACTATCAAAAGAAGGCATCATAAATTAAGATGAAACTGCATTGTCAGGTTGTTCGTCTTGTTGGGTTATAAACTATAAAGACAATAAAAGCCAAAAGTAAGTTGCAAATCTGGAAAGAAAGTTGAAAATTTTGATTAAGAAAAATGAATTTCAAAATAGTATTTTTTAAGACTGAAAACCTCAAATGATGTTAAAAAAAAAATATTTACGTAAATATAATAAACATTGATAGTAAATCATGTTGCTAGGTTAGGTATAGGTAATTCTACAAAATAATTTGAAAATAGGAAGGTTTTCTTTTCCTAGTCCAAATCTAAGACCCAAATTTAAAAAATGGACATATAAATTTAAACCTTTTTTTTTTTATTTTTTTTTTTATTTTTTTTTTTTTTTTTTCTAAATGACAAGACTACCATTTAATGCAGATAATTAGTATCAGTATTTAATATAAAGGAAAAATCCCCTTATATATAATTTTCGACTGTGTTGAGTCGAAGTGGATGGCTCGTTTTGGGGTTCTATGTGGCAAAATTTCATGCTTCATTAATAGGCTTGATAGATTTTAATTTACTTCCAATCCAAAAATAATTAGTTTCGAATTATCTATAAATATGTTGATTATTTATGGTCATTTTACATGTATTAATTACATTTCAATATCATTTCCTTTTATAACTATTGAATTATAAATGTATTTTAAAAGTTAAAAGACTTTTGTATTTTTTTACCAACTTTACATATATAATATATCAAATTATTCATCTCTTGACGATCTTCGATTTGACATCTATATTGTATTTATAAAATAAATAAGTTATATCTTTTTAAAATTATTTATTAATATTATTTAAAAAAATAAAATTATATATCAATTAATATATTTATGTTTACAGTAGTTATATGATATAAGTTTGAATAATATTATAATATAACACATATAAATTGCACAAGTAACAACATAAAATATATAGTAATATATATTTTTGTAAAAAAATATTTATTTCTTAAAACACTTTTTTTCTCATTAATTTTAAAATTTATTATTATTTTTTTTTTTAAAAAAAAACAATTCTTTATTTTCTCCAATTTCACATAAAATTCTAGGTCTATGCATGTGTTGCTNTTTTTTTTTTTTTTCGCAACGATAACAAAGCAATATATAACTCAATAATAATGTCTTACAACCACGACCAACTAACTAATTGGACAGAGGACTCATCCTACCAAGATAGTACAATGAGAACCCTAGCCGGAGACATCATAGATTATCTCCCTCCACAACCACTTTGGCTATCAAATCACAAGAAACAATAATGTCTGGATCAGAAATAAATTTACAGCATACCAAATTACTAGCTAAAATATGAATGTCTTGCAGAATGTTGTTATTGCTGTTCTGAATAGATGGCTCCACACTCAGATTCTGTAGTTTTGAAGGTTCTTTAACACAGCACTTGAATCCATTGAGTTGCTGTAGAGATGCAATTTCCAGCCCCATCTAATGCTTCGTAGTTTAGCTTCTTCCCCACTCCCATTATCTTCCTCTGAACAGGACCAAGTTTTTAGTATCTTATCACCCTGTATTGTCAGAACACCAAATCCAACTCTGCCTTCTGGGGATCTATGGGCACTGACAGCTAAGGCTAGCTGTCCTACCCTTGATGAAGATTGATCCTCAATATCTTCAATGGTTCCCACTGCATTGACACTATTTGGCAGATCTCCTTGATGAATTGTCCACATTTCTTTCCACTCAGACACAACTTTGGTAACAATTATTTTTTCTTCAACTCTCACCTTATTGAAGACCCATTTGTTCCTATCTTTCCAGATTTTCCCATAATAAGAAGGCTGACATGTAAGAATATTTATCCGATTTAATCATATATCGGTGCAGCGGAATGATCGAGATTACATACCTCCAGCCATTGCTTGTGTATGTTTGAGTTATTTGAAGAACTTGTAGAAGACAACGGTGAATGCTTCGGCACGTTCACTTTTAATCGGTTAGGATCTTCTAGGCTCTTTCACTTCTCTTTAGATGGTGTAAGATTCAGTAGTCATAAAGTGATGAGCCTAGGGACCTTTTAAAACCGATGGTACTATTTAGCAGAAAGGTACCTTTTGGCAGTAGACACCTTTTGATAGATACCATTTGGTGAAACGGTGTGATGTCTAATTATTAATTCTATCCATCACAGATTTAATATCAACCATCCAAACTATATGGATTAAGGAGATTAACAATATTTGTACTCCTTACAAAATAGAAACATGTGGACCACTTTAAATTATCTTGTTTATACATTATACAAGATAATTAAGAAAATGAAATACTAACATTCTCCCACTTGGTCCATATGTTGCTATATTCAAAACCATAGAATACAAAGAACACGAATCATGGTGATATGTCCTTTAAAATCGAGTAGTATCTTCCATGTATTACAATGCACTTTGATCCAAAAAAAACTGCTTTTTAACTTAATGAATAAACCCAATGTTTATTCTAGGTCCAAACATAAATGATAATTCTCAAGATAAATATGCACAAATTAAGTGAGAAAATATCAATAAAATTTTCAATGTAACAAGTAACAACAAATATACGTACAACCAAATGTTACATACTAGAACCGAGTCCCATCGTACTACATGATCCTTAAAATTCTTAGGTGGCATGCCCTTAGTCAAAGGATCAGCAATCATTAATTCAGTGCTAATGTGCTCAATGACCACTTTTTCTTCTTTCACACATTCCCTCACGGCTAAGTACTTGATGTCGATGTGTTTACTTCGACTTCCACTTTTATTATTCTTAGCCATGAATACTGCAACTGAATTATCACAATGTAGTCTCAATGGCATAGATATAGAATCAACAATTCTAAGCCTTGATATGAAACTCTTTAACTATACACCATGACTAGTAGCTTCAAAACACGATACGAACTCCGCTTCCATTGTCGAGGTAGCGGTCAAGGTTTGTTTAGCACTTCTCCAAGATATAGCTCCGCTGGCCAACATTAAAATATATCCAGATGTGGATTTTCGTGAATCAATGCAGCCAGCAAAGTCAAAATCTGAGTAACCAGTCACCTCTAAATTTTCAGTTCGTCTATACATGAGCTTATAATATTTTGTCCCTTGAAGGTACCTTAGCACCTTCTTTGCAGCTCTCCATTGGTCAATACCTGGATTACTTTGATATCTCCCTAACATTCCAACAACAAATGCAATGTCTGGTCTGGTACAGACCTGAGCATACATAATGCTTCCAACAGCTGAAGCATATGGAATGGACTTCATTTGTTCACGTTCGAGCTCATTTTTCGGACATTGATTCAAATTGAATCTATCACCTTTTATAATTGGGGCTAGGCTTGGTGAACAATCTTTCATATGAAATCTCTCTAAAACTTTATTAATATAGGCCTCTTGAGACAAACCTAAAATGCCTCGAGATCTGTCTTTATGAATCTTAATGCCAATGACATAAGACGCATCACCCATATCTTTCATATCAAAGCTTTTAGAGAGAAATTGTTTCACCTCAAATAACATACCCTTATCATTAGTTGCAAGTAGTATATCATCAACATATAGAACTAGAAAACATATCTTGCTCCCACTAACCTTCTGGTATATACATTGATCCATGATGTTTTCTTCAAAACCAAATGAAGTGATAACTTCATGAAACTTAAAATACCACTGTAGGGAGGCTTGTTTCAGCTCATATATTGATTTATTAAGCTTGCAAACTAAATGCTCACCCTTACTAGAGGAAAACCCTTCAGGTTGTTTCATATAAACATCCTCTAGTAAATCACCGTTAAGGAATGCCGTTTTCACATCCATTTGATGTAACTCAAAATCAAAATGAGCTACTAATGCCATAATAACTCGAAGCGAATCATTCTTAGATACCAGAGAGAAAGTCTCCGTGTAATCAATTCATTCTCTTTGAGTGAATCCTTTTGCAACAAGTCTTGCTTTATATCTTTCGATGTTGCCTTGTGAATCTTTCTTGGTTTTGAATACCCATTTACAACCAATAGGTTTCACACCTTTAGGCAACTCGATCAGATCCCAGACTTTGTTTGATGCGATAGAATCCATCTCTTCTTTCATGGCATTATACCATAAGTTTGATTGATTCGAACTTATAGCTTGTGAAAACATTTCAGGATCATTTTCAGCTCCAATATTGTAGTCACTCTCTTGCAAATACACAAAATAATCATTAGGAAATGCTGACTTTCTTGAGCGAGTAGATCCCCTTAATTCTTGAACAACTTCCTGATTTTCAGAATTTTGTTCAATTGGATCGAGAATATGTTGAGCTTCAGGATCTACAAGATGTGGTTCAACATTTTGTAGAATTTCCAAAATATGTTGTTGAACATAGCTTGTACTTGAGGCATATTATTGACAACAATCATGCTATCACTTGTAATGAGATTTCTAGAATAGTCTTTCTCAGAACTAATGTCCAAAGATTGACTGCTCCCACTGATCAAGTCATTTTCAAGAAATTTTGCATTTCTTGATTCCACAAACCTAGTGTTATGAGATGGACAGTAAAATCTATATCCCTTAGACCTTTCGGCATATCCAACGACATACCCACTTAATGTCCTCGGGTCCAACTTTTTTTCTTGAGGATTGTAAACTCTCACTTCAAACGGACATCCCCAAACGCGTACATGTTGCAAACTCGGTTTCCAACCTTTGAATAACTCAAATGGAGTCTTTGAGACTGCCTTAGTTGGAACTCTGTTCAATATGTACACAGCTGTTTTGAGAGCTTCAGTCCACAAAAACTTAGGAAGTTTAGAACTAGTAATCATACTTCGCACCATGTCCAATAATGTTCGATTTCTTCTTTCAGCTACACCATTTTGATCCGGAGATCCTGGCATGGTATATTGGGCAACAATCCCATTTTCTTGAAAAAAATCTAGCAAAAGGACCAGATGCTTGTCCACTTTCAGTGTATCTACCATAATTCTCACCACCTCTATCTGATCTCATGATTTTTATTTGTTTTCCGCATTGTTTCTCTACTTCAGCTTTAAAAACCTTAAAAGCCTCAAGTGCTTCATTCTTATTGTGAAGCAAGTAGAAATACATAAATCGCTAATAATTATCAATAAAGGTGATAAAGTACTTATCACGATATGCATCTATATCAGGACTACAAATATCTGTATGAATTATTTCCAATATTTCAGAACTCCTCTTGGAACTTTTCTTTGACTTGTTAGTTTGCTTGCCTTTAATGCAATCTATACAAGTCTCAAAATCAGACAAATCTAGAGTATTAAGTACTCCATCACTTACTAATCTTTTGATCCTGTCAATGGAGATATGACCTAATCTCCGATGCCACAAGATAGAGGAATCTTCATTCATAACACATCTTTTAATACCAGCATTGTTATGAACGTGCACAACTTTATAATTATCCTGATTTTGCAAATTAAGTCGAAAAAAGACCATTAGATAGTATTCCACTACCAACAACATTTGATTGAAAAGATAAACTAAAATCTGAGTTTGAAAAGTTTAAAGAAAAACCACACTTTAATAGTCTAGATACCGAAATCAAGTTCCTAGCAAAACTAGGAATATAAAAAGTCTTTTCCAAATACAAAACGAAACCACTACTTAAAATTAGTTTGCACGTTCCTATTGCTTCCACATGTGCGGGCATCTTGTTTCCCGAATAGATGTTATGCTCACTTTCCACTGGCTTCCGCAGGTTTAACAATCTCTGCAAGGAATTGGTAACATGGATTGTAGAACCAGAATCAATCCACCATGTGTTATGCTTAACATCAACCATATTGGATTCATAACAAGCAAAAGAAAGTTGATTACCTTTCTTCTCAAGCCACTTTTGGAACTTAGGACAATCTTTCTTCACGTGATTTTTCTTTTTACAGAAAAAACACTCGATTTTCTTCTTAATTTCCCTTTGAGGAGGAATTTTATCCTTCCCTTTATCTTTGGCTTGAAAATGTCTTTTCTTTCCCGATGTAGTAGTCATGTTCACTTTCTCACCCTCTTCCATAGCCAAATGTCCTTCTTCCTGAACACACATGGTCATCAATTCATTTATGGACCATTTATCCTTATGTGTGTTGCAGGATATTTTAAAAGGACCATATTGAGAAGGAAGAGTGCACAAAATGAAGTGAACTAGGAAAGAGTTCGACATCTCAACTTCAAGTGTCTTTAATTGAGCCGCTATATCCCTCATGCGCATGATGTGCTCACGCACACCTCTAATTCTGGTAAGCTTTAGAGAAGAGAAGTTCATTATAAGGGTACTAGTCAATGCCTTGTCAGAAGACACAAACTGATCATCAATTGCCTTCAATAAGACACGGACATTGTCATATTTCTCGACCGAACCACGGATCCCAGCAGAAATTTTGGTCTTTATAAACATAACGCAGAGACGATTAGATCGTTTCCATCTTTCATAAAGAACCACTTCGGCTGGGGTGCTTTTATCAGTTATAGCAGTCGGTTCGTCCTTCCTAATGGCATAGTCAATGTCCATACACCCCAAATGAAGAAGTATTTTCTCCTTCCAAATTTTATAATTGTCCCCATTGAGCTCAGGAACATCAATTTTCATATCAGAGTGATTAACAGGTTGAATAACTGCAACATATACAATAATCATGCTCATATTCACAAATTTTGAAACTAAGAAAATAATATGGCATGTTATATCAATACAAAACACGTCTAAACATAAATCTAGAGACATAAAACTTGTCTGTGGGCTAAAGTTCTAATTCAATTAGATTTACAAACTTCATGATAAAACTATCAAATTACAACCATTTTCTAATCTCTGTGGGCAAATTAGAAAATTAATTTAATATTTTATCCTAATTAATCACACAAATATAGTAGAAATTCCTGTGGGATAAGATCCACCATATTTTATATGAAAAATCACAACTTATGTTATATATCCATATGTGGTTACCAACAAAATTTATATATAATTTCAATCAAATAAGGATGTTGTGGCTACTCCTTAATTAATAAAAATTATACTCACCACATAACATAATATAATAACTTACATAATTGTAAATCTATAAACAATTATTTATCCATGAGCTATCAAGATTAATATTTGTAACATGCTTGATAACATAATTTTATTGCATGCATGATTTATAAATTTAAAGCATACAAATAATTCAAGCATTCAAGCATGTAAAAGTTCATTATGATAATACTTATAAAATAGTACCAACATGCTTGATAATACTTATGCTAATCAGTTCACAATAACTGTAAAAGCATGTACAAGTTCATTTTGATGACATAAAGAGAATAATTGCATATATTCATTCAAATTCATGAAACATCACATATATTCATGAAAAATTATCAAATTCCATATTCAACAAATAAAATTAATAAAAATGTAATATCACAATTCCATGGAATAAGAACATATGAAAGCATACATAGCACAAGCAAGACAGAGATTTAACTCTGCTCTGATACCAAATGTAAGAATATTTATCCGATTTAATCATATATCGGTGCAGCGGAATGATCGAGATTACATACCTCCAGCCATTACTTATCTATGTTTGAGTTATTTGAAGAACTTGTAGAAGACAACGGTGAATGCTTCGGCATGTTCACTTTTACTCGGTTAGGATCTTCTAGGCTCTTTCACTTTCTCTTTAGATGGTGTAAGATTCAATAGTCATAAAGTGATGAGCCTAGGGACCTTTTAAAACCGATGATACCCTTTGGCAGAAAGGTACCTTTTGGCATTAGACACCTTTTGATAGATACCATTTGGTGAAACGGTGTGATGTCTAATTATTAATTCTATCCATCACAGAATTAATATCAACCATCTAGACTGTGTGGATTAAGTAGATTAACAATATTTGTACTCCTTACAAAATAGAAACATGTGGACCACTTTAAATTATCTTGTTTATACATTATACAAGATAATTGGGAAAATGAAATACTAACATGACAGACTAAGTCTCTCTATCCAGTTCCCTCCTCTTTTCCCACTGCAATTATGATCAGCAAAGTGGTTCCATGTGAGGCCACTCAATTTCCAACACAGGGCTGCTTTTGGTCGTCGGTTTAACACAAAGATTTTGCTCGAAAGGAGCTTTTCTGTTATTTGGTATTTCATAATGCCTAAAGATATAAAATTCCAGAGTACTTAATATATCTTCTTCCCTACGGTTCACACATTATTCAAATGAAGAACTGACGAGAAACTACTAAAAAACTGCTCGACATCGTGCAGAAATAATGGTTCATCGCGGCGTTACCCTGGGGAAGTGGCGCGGCGTGGCGAGCTTAACGGCGTGACACACGAATCCTCCATCTTCTCTGTTGGCCCGTTATGGTCTCCGCGAGCTGCGCCGCGGGCTATGGGAAGGCTCGCGGCGTGAGAAGATCCGCGGCGTGACATGGGCCGTGGCGATCTGCTGCTGCTGTTGCTTTGGCTTGGACCTGCTGCATATGGGTTTGTCACGTCTGGGCCTGTTGCTCGGTGGGCTTGACGCGGATGGGCGTTTTGGGCCTGTGTTCTCATCAGCGTTGTTGGACATTGAAGAGCTATAACTGCTAAGCCCAACTCCTCACGGGATTGATAAATGTCTCACAAGTGGTCACCGCTGTGATAGATCACAAATACTGCTCTGCGTTTTGATGTTATCATCCCAGTTCCGAAATTTGCTGCAATCCGTCATTTGAGTTTTGAATTTTTCCAAGAAGGGAACTTGCTCCGGCAGCAGTGGCCGCAGATGGGCAGCTCGTCGGCGGCGCCGTGGAAGCAGCTTCTCCTCGGCTCAATCCAAGCCAATTCCCACCTAAAGCATTATTCTTATTTCCAGCTCGTACGCACAAAGATGATGTTCTCATTTCTTAAATTTCACTGGTATAACAGTATTTTCCGCCCTTCAAAATTTATTCATTCGTATCTTGTGATTTCAGGCAACTGTCTCATCCAGTAGCAAACCCTCCAACCGTACTGTTGTTTTCAGGTTTGTTTCTGATTTAGGACAATACATAGTTATGCTATTACTATTGTTGTACTCTGTTAGCTAGCTGAAATTTGTGTTGTGTGTGTTGTTAAAATCAGAGGATTTCAGGATGATGGTGATAAGATCTTGATCAACACCGACACTCGCACTCGTAAGGTTAATACTTAGTGTGCTTTGTTTTGGGTTACGCCTGACAGTTATGGATTTATTAGCGTCAATTATGTAGAAGTATCTTCAACAAATTCTTGTGGGAGATGACCTAATTATTAGGGTTACAACAATCTTACTATTTGTAGAAGAGCTTGATTGTTTTGTTGCTGCATTTGATTTGAATTCGATGTGGTTGCGGTAATCTGTAAATTGGGTCTTCACCACTGATGAGTTCACTTTGAGAATTTGAGATGATATCACTAGCTTTCTACCTTAGTAGTGTATTTGGTATTGTCTGCCTTTGCTGTGATTTGGGTTTGTGACTTTGTATAATACAAACATATTGAGACAAATGACATGCCATAATTGACTTTCTCAGTTATTCCACTTGCTTGCTGTATCCAAAACAATGGCAATTTACAGTACCATTATTGTGCATCAGTTTATCATTCAATCTCATTATACATATCATACCTGTTTGTGTTGCCATGTATTTGGGACTAAAAAATATGTATTTTTTTTTTCCTCCTTACTCTTCAAAATACCACCTTTACTATTTCTACTTCTTCTCTGTAACCATATTTTGTCCAGATCAAAACTAATCCAACTCAAAATGTTGCAGATTGATGATCTCAAGCACTGCCCATTTGCCGAGGTATATGCATTTTGGTCCACCTCGTGGATGAACTCGAACTTTTGCTTCAGCTGTTACATTGACCTTGCAGCTTCATGCCTTTACTCACCCTGGCAAAGTACATTCAGTCTCAAACTTGTGCACTTTTGTAATTTTGACAAAATTCAGATATGCTGGTATTTTACTGACTCGTGGGAGCAGTTTCGCATTAGCGGACATGTGGATGTCATAGACGGAACTAATCCCGATCCAGTAAAACTTCAGGTGATAAAATTGCCTCTCTAAATACCAAACTGTAAATTTACTCTTCTACCCGTAGATATCACTGGAAAATGCCAAAACAAAGCTTCTGCTAAAAAATAGGCATGAAATGAGACATCGCGCAAACTTTTGCATAGATAATGGGTGCATGAATGTTAGCAGTTATTGACATTGAATTTGAATGATGTGACCAAACTATCTTGTAGCAAAGAGAGAAATCTTGGTTTGCCTGCTCTCTTAAATCGAGAATGCAGTATACCATGCCTACCCCAAGAATTTCCATTCACAAACTGCCATCTCAAACGTCCTCTTTGGATCCTTCGGTTGGACCCATTGATGCATTTTGCCTGCTCGTGCTTGATCCTGACCAGGTTAAAGAACTCTCTCTTTCTAAAGTATATGTATATGTACCATTGATATCATATGATGTTCATAATGTCTTGTCGATAGGTTGATTATCTGAACTTAAAGAGCAATGAGAGGCTAGTCTTTACATCGGGACTGAGTGTCAGTGGTGAGAGGCTTTGGACTTCAGAGCAAGTCAATCCGTAGATTCCCAGCTTGTAATGTTATCATATTTGTAACTTCTATAAGTAGTGTATGTCATTAGATGACTCTAATAAAGCATTGGCAATTAGTATTATCATGAAGGGAGAAAGAGGACATTTTCATCATGGTATCATTGAAATAAAAAAAGAAACATATGTTCAAGTGCTCAATTGTTCAACAATGTTCTATTAATCAGCTTAAAGTTGCTCAAAAGGACAAACAAATATAACACCTATCAGTATCAGTGAATCAGAGAGGGGCAGCAACAAGAAATAGAGAATAAAAACTGATGAAAACTGCAACGGCGATCCAAACAGCACAACATTTGTGCTCCTTTTGCCCAAATTAGGAACATTTTCAATTTCACAAAGGTTACAAATTCTTAAACACACACAAAAGCCAAATCAAACGACACAAGAAAAAAGGGGAAAAAAAAGGGGGGCAAATTCTAGGAAACACGAGACGGATTCTTCTTGTCATCCACTCAATTTCCAGATTCATTCGCAAGCGTAATAATAGACAGGTTTTATGATTTGCCGGTGAGTTGCTGAGGCAGGGGGACCTTATCATCGGCGGCGGCTGGCTGGTGGCGGAGAGAGGGGGCGTCGGTGGTGAATGAAGGGTGTTTGGTAAGCATGAGCGGCCGATCCTTAGCCTCCTCGTCATCGTACATGTCGTCATCGTCGGTGGACAGGTGGATGCACGAGCATCGCTCGAGAGAAGCGAAGAAGGCGGTGGCGACGCTAGTCCCCACCCAGCTCGCCGCCCGATCCAGCTTCTCGCACCTGCCCATGCTGCCGCTGACGTTGTCCGCCGCCGCCATCTTTATTTCCCTTGCTCTTTAGCCAGAAATTGATCGGTTGGGATGGGGTGGATTGGATGGAATTTTAGAGAGAGGTGATTTGAGGATTTTGGTGGAGAATTCCAGACAGATTACGGTAGATAAATAATAAGATTCGGTTTCATTATGTGTTAGTGTGAGTCTTTTTGTGTGTGTAACGGCCGGTTTTTTTGGATTGGGAGGTGAGCTGGAAAGGAAGTAAATTAATTATGATTATTTATTTAAGTCGTAATTATAAGAGATGATTACGAAGGCTAATCTTTCGGTAAAAGGCCTATTAATTATGACTAGTACAGAGCCCGTGCGATGCACGGAGTGCATAATTTTAAGGCTATAAAATCCAGGCTTATAATTATATACATGAATAAAGAAAAATGTACGAGATATATATAGTACGTGACCCGTGCGAAACACGAGATATATTTATTTGGAGAATATTATATTATAAGATGCAATATTTAATAAAAGTTTATAATACGCAAGAAATTGTATAATGTTCAACAAAAGTTTTATAATATTCAAGTGGAGTCTTAAAGTCTCTTGTACATTAAGACTACTGACAAAATAATATTTTAATAATGAGTTTCATTTCCTTGTAGCCAAATTGTGAATGTATTTGAGGAGTACAACAAATCGATATATAGCTGACTTGCTTTTTTCATTGCAGATTTTTTTTTTTTTTTTATAATGAATTTAAAGATATTCTAAAATATAGCAAAATTTATTTTTTTTATTACAATTAGGAATTTTACTAAATATAAACTCTCAATCTATGGTGTTAATCAACGTTTAAGTCTAAAAAATTAGGAATTTTTACCTCTTTTAATCAACGTTTAAGTCTAAAAAACAATAGAGTTATTATAAGTTTTTTTTCTACATCTTTTAAAACATTAAATATGAGCATGTTAGAGCTAGCTTGTAAAATAATTAATATATTATCTCATTAAAACATTTATACTAATAAAAATTTAATTTTAGCATATAAATTTATCCCTTGATATAAGAGAAAGTAACAGTTTTACTTATTGTTGTTCACCATATAATATTTAATTATTATTTTATTATATAATAAAAAAGGAATATTGTTAAATAGTGTAGTAGAATTGTTATGAAATTATATAATTTTTATTTTACAATATGGATTTAATATTTTTTTATGATTTGATAATATAAACAAATCTATACTTAACTTTGACAAATAAAATAAATAAATATTTTATTAAGTATTTAATGTATATACTAAATAGAAATATATTTGGTATAATCAAATACCAAATATAATCAAATAAGTCAAAGTGTACATTTTTATTTGATATTTGTTTTTTTTATTATTAAAATCTTTTTACTATACTTACCTTTTTAAAATAAAACAAATGAATAAATCAATTAAATAAATAAAATATTATAATACCAAAATAGTAATGACATTTAATGCAGTTGACTTTTCTGGATAGTAAATGTAGTAAATAGAATATCCTTTTATATAGTATAAAATACGGAAATAGTAATGCAATAAATGCTGTTGACTTTTCTGGCTACTTAATTTAGTAAATAGTACCCCCTTTAATATAAGTATAGATTATTGATTTTAGTCGTAATTAAAAGAGAGAGGAACGCTTGGATACAAATTTTACTAAAAAAAAATTCAATCATTTTTAACCAATCACATTTTTTTAACTCAAATCTAACTATCTTTAATCTAACCTCACTATCTTCAACTAGTGCGTATCCCGTGCGATGCGGACGAGCTCTTTACTTAATACCTTCTCTAAACTTTATAATAAACATAATTATTTATGTTTAACATCTCATTATTGTAAGAAAAGAAATACAAAATATGAAAAATTATACATTATTTATTTGAATATAATGAGTGTCTTCAACCAAATTAATAACATCTAACACATGATATATGATAAAATTAATTATATGATCGTCATGCTTTTTGAATATATATATATATATATATATATATATATATTGAATGTGGTTCAAATGAGAACCAAGTCTTGGCGTGAGAACCGTTATTTTTAATTGTATGTAGTACCATGATTGATTGTGTTTTAGTGCTCTTTTAACATGAATGTATTTTATTAAAAATAGCAACACAATTTATATTAACATTTGTGAATATAATAGCACCATGTGATATTAAAAATAGCATCATACACAATTAAAAATAGCACAAAATATGGTTCTCACAGTTCTCACACCAGAACTAGTTTTTATTTGAACCAATCCCTATATATATATATATATATATATTTATATTTAATAAACATGAGATATTTAATATTCACATTAAAATTTGTAATTTGGATATGAGATGAAAAATGGATATGTACAAAAAAAATATGTACCAAGACCCACATAATATGAGATTCTCTCTAAACTTTAAAAGATTTTGTAGTTAAATAAATATGAACAAAAAAATAATCAATTAAGTTGAACTATCCGAATATAAAAAATAATTTTTGAAATTAACATTGTTTATTAGATAAATACGAATTTTTAGTTGTGACCATAAAATATGATATTTGTAGATAGATAAATATAGATAAAATAACATTTAACAATTAAGTTGACATGACTTTTCGAAAGTTTTCAAAAAAATTCAAACGTTTTATTCGTTAAATGATTGACCGAATTTTTGTAACCAAATTTACATGTTTGACTTTTAAAATGATTGATCAGACTTTTTAGAAGTAAGATTTTCAATATTCTTTCTCATTATTGGCCAGATTTATTGTCAATATTTTTAGGAATTAAGGCTTACACAATATCTTTCTCATAATAATATATATATTTTTTTTAATTTGAATATGAATTTTCATCCAGCCGCCATTTT